AGTTGATGGTTGATGTGACGTTAATGGGGCGTTAGCAAGACTGCAGAGACAAAGAATGTAACATTATGCCGGAACATAGAACAACCCTGCAAACTAATACAAACTATAAACATTGGTAATGGTTGTGATAGTATTAACAGAATTCAACCACGGTACTATTAATAATAACGATATTAGTAAAAATATAGTCATTATAATACTACTAATAATGATGTTACTGCTGCTGCGGCTACTGTTGATGATGATGATGATGATGATGATGATGATGATGATGATGATGATGATGATGATGATGATGATGATGATGATGATGATGATGATGATGACGATAATATGTTGTGATGTTGATAATGCATTATCTCAAAGTTGAGGTAATACTTTAGTTGGAGGCAGTTATCATGTATCAGTGTTCATTAGATTAGAATGAAACTGGGGAAAAACAAACAAACACATGTAAGGCAGTCGAGCTAAAAAAGAAGCTGTATATAAAGCAGATAATCAGTCGTGAGAGTTTCTGTAAATCGTTTTGGAGTGACTTCTGAAGATTCATTTCTTTGTGAGTTTTCCTAAGTAAGGCGGTTGATATTTCAGTCGCAAAGCAACGTCATCGTCTCAAACTTCATAAAAAAACAAAACAAAACAACAACAAAAAAACAGCAACAAAAAAAACAACAACAACCCAAATTGATTGATATAAACAGTAAAATGATAATTTGTCTCTCATAATCTGAAAACATAGACGAGGCGGTTTCCTGATTTTGTAAACCACAAACAAAAAGTTAATTAGAGATCATTTGATATGTTGGATACCTTTTTTTAAATTTCAATTTTTTAAATCTGCTGCATATGTAGAAACGCAAGGTGATGGATGCACCATGGAAAATTAAACCTGAAGTTTCAACTCGTTTTTTAAAGACTTTTACTTCGTCAAGTAAGAAAAGGAATCATATGTATCGTTTTATAACTTTAAAAAGTGCACAAAGTCGCCCAATGCCTAATGGCATTACCTTTAAGCGCTTGGCAGCAGTGTTTTTTTTACTCCTAGTGCGAAGAAATTTATAAATAATATAAACTGTCGGTCGGCAGAGGCAGGCCTGTGTGTTGTGTCCAGCTTTTGTGTATGTGTATAAACCTATGCATTTTCCTTATGTAGGTGATTAAACATCTACACCGACTCAAATTAGATCGTTGTGCAGTCAGATTTTTAGCCTGTAGTCAGGGCCAGCACAGGCTGGGAGTGATACAGCATCCTAGCAAAAAGACCGAAATACTCGACACAAATTCTGAATCGAGTTCACCTCTCCTGTGTGCGACGGCCAAACGCCAAACTTCTACAGCACATAGATCTAGAAGCGGTCTATCTGAGAACCTGTAGGTGTGTGTTAGTGTGCGGGCCTGTGTGATTGCCTTCTTATGTCCTTGGGGATTTGTGTCTCTTTCACGTCTTTCAAATTAGTGGTCTTTGCCATTAAAAATAGTTTAACCAAGAAAAGAAATGTTTCTTGTCGGTATTAGTCAGCTTCTCAATATTCTCTCTCTCTGTCTGCCTGCATGTCTGTCTGTTTGACTGACTGTCGTTTGTCTGTCCTCCTCCTCCTCCTCCTCCTCCTCCTCCTCCTCCCCTCTCTCTCTCTCTCGTCTCTGTGTTTCGGATTTTAGCGGGTTTTCTTTGTCACTTTGTGTTCAAGAATAGCTTTACGTGTCCTGTAGTTTAATTTTTTCGTCCAAAACAGTATCGGTTTCTTTTTTCTCTAAACTTTTATTGATAATGATACCAGAGTGGCACATGTGACAGTTGGAGGCTGGTAATACGCGTTAATAAGAACTTTTTACAGAGCTGTAAGCTACACGCAACGTATGAAGATATCTAAATGAACCAAGAGTTTGGGGATAAAAGTAGAAATTAATTATCATTTCTTTTATGTAAAACCTGTAGTGTTTACGAAATGCCAGCATCTTGCTGATACATTATTTTTTCCATCCCGTCTTGGGTAAATCAGACTGTTTTCTGATATACATACATGTGGTATAGTATCTATAACATACTTGAATTATTTGAATGTAGAACTGGGGTCTTAGGAAGACGGAGTGCCCCATGACTCCTCACCCTTCTTCATGAGGGTCCATTTCAGTGTGGGCAGGCAGATTGTCTCCATCATCAGCAGTATCTATAACATATTACTTCGAATGCTTTATTTCCAGACTGTTCGAGATGGAGAAAGACTTGAAGAAGCTGTTTCGTCGCCTGATGTCGCAGACAGAGAGCGGAGAGTTCATCTTCGACACGATACGCCTGGAGCACCACGCCACGCTGGTCATGAAGAACCTGGGCCAGGCAGTGGACAATCTGGACGACTCAGAGGTCTTCTCGGAGATGCTCGTCCTGCTCGGAGAGAAACACTCCTCCTACAACGTCCGGCCGGCGATGCTAGCGGTAACGGTTTTTATTTCTCGTGGCATTAATTTATTAGTTTTATACATGTTTTGTTCCATTATTTTGAGAAGAAAAGCGACAACCAATGTTACCTTAACCCTATCCGTACGCCCTGGGGTCATTTTGTACCCAGGAATTATATTCTTCACATTTTAAAATACCTCTAGGGCGAAGATCTCTTTGAAACTTTCAATATTTCTCAAAGTCAAAGAATCATTTTGAAAGACTGCTATGCAAAGCGTACGGAACGGATTAACAAGTAAATTTCCTCTTTGGAAAGTGGTGGCACAGAGTTCCCCATGTCGTATGGATACGATAGTAAAACACGACGTACGGATAGGGTTTAGGAATGAATGAATACATGAATGAATGAATGAATGAATAAATGAATGAATGAATGAATGAATGAATGAATGAATGAATGAATGAATGAACTTTTGTTTAGGAGGGGGGGGGGGTTGAGGAGGATAATGAGGAAGAAGGTGTAGTGAGTGAAGATAGGCGGGGAAAAGGACAGAATCACATGATATATATCATCATTATTATCATATTAACACTACTTACGACTGCTGCCATAAAGCGGGAAGTACTCAAGAAAATGAACACGAGGCTCAAAACTTCTCCCTGCTGAAGCAAAAATTAACATGTTTCTAAAAAAAGATTAGTTCGGTAACTTAAGAATAAAAATGCTAACGTCTGCCCGACTAGAAATACGCCGGTCTATAGTTTTCACTGCTGAAGGGAAACTTAATATGTTTCGCATAATCAGGTTATTCGTTGTTAACTTTTGAGGTGTGAAGTCTGTAAGTGTACGCGAATTTAGACCAGGAAAACGTTGGCAATAAAAATAATAACATAAGTTATGGTTGCTTGTTTATGTCCCTACGTTTACATTTTGAGGACACCCATTCTAATTATTTGACAAAGGTTGAAAACGCGTTGTTTTGAAGTATAACTTCTTTATTCATGCAGATACTTCAATTCTGTTCTATAAAAAAAAATCTGAAACTTTAATAGATAACCAACAACATGCACACTATAAAATACTATGCACATTTGTGTGACTGTATGGTTTGAAATGTGTCACTGCATTGGATTTGGTCTGCTGCTGCCGATAGGACTTATTAAAATTTTGTGTGTTAGGGAAGCCTTCTGTTAAAGTTTGTTTTCCCTATAAAGTATAATTTGTAACATCCATGATTCATTGCCCTGCCGCGAACTTCAAATATGTCGATTGCTGGAAACACCTGAGAGAAATTCTCATTCCCCTGCATAAAAATATAATAAGAAACAGGGGAGTTAAACACTCTTTAACTCTTATTTATGTGTCTCTGAAGACGTTGTGACTTGATTTTCCCTTTTGCAATAAAGCAAGACATCAAATTTTGACAATCTGTCCTTTTTTCAGTTTCTGTGGCCGGCGATCCGCGACGGCCTGAAGATGCGACTAGGAGATAAATTCACCGTGGAAACGGAACTGGCCTGGAAACATCTCTACGACTATATCTCCTGCAAGATGTCCGACGGGATGAGCGGGCGACACAAGAACTCGAAGAAGATATTGTTTAAATAACGGCGCCTTAATACTTACTAACCCTAGACGACTTGATTGCCTTCTCACTGCACAAAAGTATTACGCGAGTGTCAGCACGTCATATATATATATATATATATATATATATATACATACATACATACATACATACATACATACATATATATATATATATATATATATATATATATATATATATATAAAACAGCAGCGACTCAAAGTGAATCGACTCAACACCGTATTTCCAATTCTGGAAGACAGCTGGGCTGGTGGTGTAACTGGCCTGTTATCAAAAACGTCAACTCATTTTGCCTTAAAACAGCACTGACAGATATCTGACTTCTTTTCTCTAAAAAAAGGTTAACAGTATCAAACAGTCCAGAACTGTTGCTTTATTTAGTACAGAACATGATTTCCTAATGTCTCATTTCCTACTACACAAAGGATAACCGAGACATACTAATATAAACACACTCTCTCTCTCTCTCTCTCTCTCTCTCTCTCTCTCTCTCTCTCTCTCTCTCCCCCTCTCTCTCTCTCTCACTCTCTCTCTCACACACACACACACACACTCTCTCTCTCTCTCTCACACACATACACACACACACACACACACACACACACTCACACCCACACATCCATCCATCCATCCATCCATCCACCCATACATACATACATGCATGCATACATGCATACATACATACATACATACATACATACATACATACATACATACATACATACATATGTATAAAACATAGATACATACATACATACAGACATACATAGGTACACACATACACACATACATATATACACACATACATACCTATGTATAAAACATACATACATACATACATACATACATACATACATACATACATACATACATACATACATACATACATACATACATACATACATACATACATACATACATACACACACAACCACGCACACACACACACACACACACATAAATATATATGTATATATATATATATATATATATATATATATATATATATATATATATATATATATATATATATGATATATATATATTACCGAGTTGCAAAAGTTCTGTCACTCCCATTATATTACGATAATAAGAATTTCAGTAAAAGTTAAAAGTATGACTTGTGGGACTTATGAGACTTCTTGTGCAAGAGCAGACCAAAGAAATCATAAACCGGAAGTAGAACGGGGACAAAGTGTCGGTATTGATTTACCTCGGTCTGTGTTGATATCAACGCTTCCTACACACAACATTTGCTTTCAATCACATAGACAATGTGTAAACACACCTTACACACGATAAAATTCCGTACTTTTTAACGGTTGGGTACCTTTTTCTCCTGTTTTCAAAATTTAAAAATTGATAAATTCAGAAAATAAAGGGGCTGTGTGTATGATTAATTCTTTATTAGCGCGTTCTGCATTTGCAAGACACGTAAATGTTTGCAGAGGAATCATCTAACCCTTGAACAAACGTTTTAACACCACTAGAACTGACCAAGACAAGCCGAGACGAAGCCAACCAAGGGCGACAACTCGACATCAGAATTGGGTTATTGTCAACACCCATGTTCAAAACCCATTCCAACTTAGTGCAGAGACTGCCAGGCACTTCGGACGGTCTTGAAACATCATTATTGGACATTTTTAAGATCGTGGATTACGTGATTATCGCCCTTTATATGGAACCATTCTAACCCTGTTTCATGGAAGAAATCGCCAAATTTTGGCAAAACAACATTGTCCGTAAAACTAAAGACTTTGGTAAAGTGTTCTTTTCAGCAATGGTTAAGGTTTTTAATTCGTAGCATTGATGGAGGAGAAAAAGTGTATAAAAGAAGAGAATAGAAATTTCACAAATCTAACGTCCCCCAAGAGGCCCAAAGGTGGCTGAAATGTGATGGTAGGTGGTGGAATCTCTGCTTTTTATCGTATACATTTAGTTACTTTTCAAAGCAATCTAAAATAACGACATTATTGTGACGAAATTCTTCGTCACGGTGACTACGCTACATGGCACCGATGATGGAATCGGCTAACAAGACAACGCCCGACCACAAATGGCTACGATGAATGAAAACTTCTTCCAAACACATCAAATCGTTATTCTGGACTGGCCGGCAAGAACCACAAGCCATAACCTAACAGAATATCTGTAAGATGACCTTGACCGGAGGATTAGAAACAGGCCGCACTCTGTACAAACTGGTCAGAACTGAAGGCTACACTTCACAAGGAATGGCAGAGGATTCCTCAGACAACCATAAGGACTTCAATTCAGCCAATGAACAGATGTTTTGTATTTGTAATTCAAGCTAGAAGAGGACACACGCCATACTGGGCAAACTTTGATTTGGATTTTGCAAGAGTCAGTGTGAATAAAATGATCCCCCTTGAACAAGGAAAGACATTTGTCAATTCTTTTTATGTTATGCTGGCAGAAAATGAATAAAGATCGCGGGTATCAAATTTCTCTTGGCTATGTTGAGTAGTAAATGAGTTATTGTACTTTTAAGGTGGGTGTGACAGAACTTTTGCAACTCAGTATATATATATATATATATATATATATATATATACACACACACACACACACACACACACACACACACACACACACACACACACACACACACACACACACACACACACACACACATATAAGAATTCGCTTTTTATTCGACCAATTACGTCATCTATTTAACTGAAGTCATACCATTAAAGGCCTAATGTATTCTTAGAGGCACCCGCCATCCATGTCTAGGTGTAATTTTAGCCATAATTTAGCTAAAGTCAGTGGAATATGAATGCTGGCCTAGTGAAATGCTGACTACAAAAGGGTGTTCTGTTCGCTGAGAACTTTTGTGCAAGATTTGTTACGTCAATGGGGAAAGAAAAATGAAAGACGAAATGTGTTTAAAACGCCACTATATTAGTCTGCTCACTGAAAATTGTGTGAAAAGTGGTTGCTCTTTGAGAGTGAAGTATGCTTGATTGCAATGTTCCCCCCTGTGAACTCATCTTTCTTTCTTTGGTATTGACATGATATGGATTGTGGTAAGAAAGATAGGAATGCACGAAGACTTGCAGCGTCTTGCTTACAGCGTGTATAAAGCGTTTTGGCACTTTATAACAATTATAGTAACTCCCTTAACCAGCTTCAGTACACGGAGCCCTATCAGATCAAGCTGCAAAGAGAGTGGAATTCCCTTGAGAGTCATTAGCCTATGGCGCGTCACGCACAATCAGGCGCAGATCTGCACCACCAAGTGACCGGACTGGACTTTTCGAGCTTGAGTGAGCCATGCGCTGATTGACTGAGAAAGGAAAGAACTTTTCATTGGTGCAGATATTACCGAGTGGCTAAAAAATATCAACATCAGAGTGCTATCGTCTACAGTCTGCCCGACGTTGTGTTTGATTTCTTTGATATGTCTTGTTTATTGACTGTAACACAATATCCATCGTATTGAATGCAGTGATTGCTCTCTCTTAATGACGTTTTATTTCCATCTGAAATTTATTTTACTGTCCAAGTGTTCGATAGGTAACGATTGTGAGCATTGCAAGTATCTTCTTTGTCTGTTTATGTTTCAAAGTACGTCTGAAATGCGTATTTGATTGGTTAAAACAATTATATTTAACAGCAGAATTTGTAAGAATCAAGTACTCTAGTCGCTGATTTCGACAGAACTACTATGTTGTCTACGTAGCTCAGCACGAACTTTTCAGTAAACAATTAATCCTTATTAATATCAAACCATTTTCTATCTTTTCTACATTGTATTTAGCTAAGAATCCGTCCGGTACGGATAAAAGGAGAGCGATAAAACGACGACAATAGCATGACGACAGATATTGTGTTAGTGATATACGAGAGAGCGTGTGTGTGGTGGGTTTTTTTTTTTGGGGGGGGGGGGGGTTTAGGGAGTGATTCCCTTTCCTAGGGCGAGCATCGAAATATATCCTCTAATGACGTAATAAAACAACAATACACCTGTTTGGGTGGTTGCTGTGCTATTAAATTTTGTTTTCATTGGCTTTCTTCTCTCTTTCCTCCTTTTATTTTACTTATTATTCTTTCGCGGAGTCAGCGCCTTCTGGTTCGAAAACAGCTGTTTAAAAAAAAAGAAATACGAATGGTGTTAGAAATGTGCAACGGCAGAAGACAAAATACATGTGATTTAAATGCAGAGGGAGGATCAGATCGTAAAAAACATATTTCTAGTCTGTGCTAGAATTTTTTTTTCTCCCGATTGCTCTGTATTATGATGCTCACTGCTCGCCCCTGTGTGAAAAAGAATGGTAACCACGATATTGTTTCCTTTTAATGTGTGGGCTGGTAGATCAAGTGAACGCATGATATTCTTTTTTCGTGGGAAATCCCCAGAATTATGTGCATACAAAGCAAATTCTTGTTCCCACAGTTAAAGTAGTTGTAATAAAGCATGGTAAACGAAGCGTTATTGCTTAAGCACCAACACCCCCCGCCTCCCTG